ACAATAAACATTTGCATGCTCTCTCTTTTTTCATCTTTCCCCTTTGCTCTTCCTTGCTCTTCTCAGTCTCTCAAACATGCAGTTAAAATTGATTCGATCCAGTTTCAAAGACTATGATCTCTCTTACTGTGATGCAAAACTGACATGGCCTAAACGAAAACATTACAGTTTCACCCACCATCCAATGCAATTGCTCAACAAACAATAACACTCTTTTCTAAGAATCTCATTATCCTACTATTCAAACCAGTACCCCTGCAGGACATGCTGTTATTGTTAGATAATCCTAATTAATTATTCTAGTTCCTGTCCACATCAGTCCAGACTCCAAGAGAATACATAGCCCCCAAAACCTCTGCCATCTAACGAGCGACATTAATATGCAGAGAGACAGTGGGGGGTTATGAATGAGCAGAGAATTTGTTTAATTGGGTGAGTAATGTGTTTTCATAGCTTAGAAATTCAAAAGGTCAAGCTTGGGCTATGTATAACAAGAACAATAAGCCACATAAATAGGTCTTAGATAGCCAGTGATAGAAAGGTTGCATGCAGGCTGCGGATTGTTAGTGTGTGTTTAGCTGTTTACTCCATCTGTGTGGCAGAGATTTCCATCCATCCATCCATCCATCTTCTACTGATTACTCCTTTTGAGGGTCACGGGGAAACCTGGAGCCTATCTCAGGGAGCATCAGGTACAAGGCAGGGTACACCCTGGACAGGGTGCCAGTGGCAGAGATTTAACACATTCAAAATCTGATATCAACCTATGTATTAGACAGCATGAGGGAACTGTGAGTTTTACTTGGTAATCTTCAGGTACACAGAATTATAAAGATACAGTGGACTCTCAAGGAAAACAAGGTTAAATCTACCACTCTGAAACCTTTGAAAGCTAGCGTTTCGTAAGATTCAGCCTAAGCATTTGAAGGTTTGTTCTGACCAATGCCATGTGGGTCATTAGCATAGTGGGGGAGTCCAGCTCCTTCAAATAAAGAGATCATTGATTCAGTGAGAGATGAAAAAGAATTCAAACTTTGTCCATGGACACTAGAACTATTACATTGTATTTTAATGTAACTGAATATAAGTGCCTAAACTTTAGTTACTTTGAATTTTTTTTAATACACTGCCAGGTGGTGTTTTTTTATTAAATCTCTGTCTGTACATTATGATGGTTGTGTGTGTGTGTGTGTGTGTGTGTGTGTGTGCGTGTGTCTTTGTGTGTGAATATTAAAAGTGCACACAAATGTTCAGTTTCTTAAAAGCCAGCAGGAGATGCCTTGTCTTGGATGAATCATAGCAGTTTGTGATAGTTTCCTGCAACTTTAATGGATGTGAGTCAAAAATATATCAATTTACTGTTGGTTAAAGTGATCGTGCTGACAAGTGTGTGTGCTGTGAACATTCTGTCCAATCTCCAAGATACCAGTTATGTTTTGTGTAAGTGTGTTGATAGCGTCATGGCATTAGTGTAATTAAAAAAAATTAAAATAGTTGCCAAGATCACATTTTTCCACATTCTGAAGTTTGAAGTGAACATTAACTGAAGCTCTTGACCTACATCTGCATGATTGTATGCATAGTGCTGTTTCCACATGACTGGGTGAATGGATAAGTGCATGAATGTGCAGGTGCACAGGCATTCCTAATAAAGGGGCTAGTGAGTGTATGTATTGTTTGTTTGTTAGGTTTTTTTTGTTGTTGTTGTTGTTTTGTGTGGTTTTGTCCATATAATGAAGGGTATTGGGTATATTTTCTGCTTGCATATGTGGCCACAATATCAGGGGTCAACCCAGTGCCATGGTTCTTGCTCCTATTCTGTCTCTGTTTCTTCTATCAATATAAAATGTTAAAAAGAGAAAGCCTTTTATTGTCAACCAGCAGGATTCATACTCTGATGATGAGTTTAAACTGGTTGTTTCCTGTGGTTGATACTGTATTGGTGTGCTATTTCTTGCTGGAAGTATGTGTGTGGTTAAGTATGGTTTTCTGAAAAGACATTTTATAGTGGGGTTGTAACACAAATTTTTCTTTCTTGAAGGTCAAGTGCGTTTAAAATGAAGAGCACTTAGCAAGCAATATAATCTCATTTTTAGCTAATTTGCATGTGTGTGTGATCGTGTGCATTTGTGTTTGAATGTGTGGCTGTGTTATTTGAGGAGAAGGGTAGCATCTGTGCTCCATTAAAAATGACCGCTCTGGGATCTCCATCTCCTATCTGTTCCCTTTTCTGTGTCTATCACATTCACGTTCTCTATCTGCAATGTCTGTCCTGCCTCTATGCCTGTACTGCGGGAATGTATGAATGCTGGAAGCAGCAATATACAATTTAATAGGAACACGTTACCTGGACCAGGCAAGATTTTTCCAATTTTCAACTGGCCAGTTTCACTAAACCTACACCCACTGTAGCCTCAAATTCCTGCTCTTGGCTGACAGGAGTGGGACCAGATGGTGTCTTCTGCTTTTGTAGTCTATCCACCTCAGGGATACACATTTCTTTTAGTGTTCAGAGATATTTTTTCTGTTCACCAGAGTTGTATAGATGGCTTATTTCAGTTATTGTAGCCAACAGAACTGACACGCATTGGGCATTTTTTGTTTGTTTTTTCACACCAACCCTAAGCACTATTTCAGTTTCTGAAATACTCAGTAAGCCAATCTTGCATCAACAACCATGCCATAGTCATGGAGATCACATTTGTCCCCATTCTGAGGTTTGATGTGAACAGTAACTGAACCTCTTGACCTGTATCTACATGATTTTATGAATTGCACTGCTGCCAAATGATTGGCTGATTGCATGATATAGCAGGTATATATTATTCTTAAGTGCTAAATTTATTGTGAGCATGATTTGACATTCTAACACCACCACTGATATGTTGATGATGTCTCCTGAGAAACTTCAGTCTTCACGCTTCATCATGCTTAACAGACTTTGCAGTTGGCATGAATAATCACAAAACCCATCTTGTCATCTTGAGAAGTCAGTCCTTCAGTTCAGGGCAGTCACTGCCAAGATTGGCTTATGGTCATTATTACCACGACGAGCCTTATGGCAATAACTACTGACTGGCTCCCTCGTGACCCTGGAGTCTATCCCAAGGAATTCATGGCACAAGGCACGAGACACCCTGGACATGCTGTCAACCCATTGCAGTGCAAAATCGCACACATATTCACATGGCTGTTCACACACTGTGGACAATTTGGAAATGCCAGTCAATCTACACTGCATGTCTTTGGACTAGGGAAGGAAACTGGAGTACCTGGAGGAAACCCACAAAGCGCTGGGAGATCATGCAAGGTGGTTCGAGGTGGGATTCAAACCCCCAACCCCAGAGGTTGTTGCAAATGTTCTAACCATTAAGCCGTTGTGCATCAAGTTATAGTCTTTGATAGTTGCCTACACAGGAAGCCCTACTTATTCAATCCAACCCAATTAAATTTTATATGTTTAGCACTTTTAACAATAGTCATTGTTAAAAAGCAACTTTACAGAACTCCTAACATAGATTTAGATCCCTAATGAGAATGGCTGTGGCAACAGGGAAGATGACATGAGAAAGAACCAGACTCAAAATGGGAAAGGGATAATGGGATTTAATCATTGCAATACTGTAGAAGAGTGAAGTCAAACACTATCAAACACTATGTTGAAAGGACATTCAGCATAACTATTTTATGGATAAGAGTCCTGGGATAAGCACAGGGAAATCTTTATTGCAGCAGCACATAAAAATCTACATTTTCAAGGTTCCAAGATCCCATTCCAGAGTTGCCTTCCAAACATTTTTATTAAGAGGACACCCTGCTTCTCTTTGTCACACAAACCCAGGCTGGCTGTTAAGGCAAGATTCCAAAAGGAATTTGAGGTGATTTGAGGTGCAGACCAAAGAAACCTAAGTTCTCGAGGGTGTGAAAGTGTAAATGCAAGAACTTGGTGCAGTCCACAAGACTACAAGACATTTCCTTATGTTGCCTGTTCAGTATGGCGCTTTGGCAGTGGCTTTTGTAATTGCCATCCATCCATCTATCCATCCATGCACTTTCCATACCACTTACACATCCTACACAGGCGGAGCCTGGAGCCTATCCCAGAGTACTTGAGGCATGAGGGAGGGGACACCCTGGATTGTGGGGCAGCCCATCGTATGGCACAATCACACACATATTCACATAGTATGGACAATTTGAAAATGTCAATCAGCCTATTACGCATGACTTTGGAAAGGGGGAGGAACCAGGAGTACCTGGTGGAAACCCCCAAAGCACAGGGAGAACATGCAAATTCTGCGCACACAGGGCAGAGGTGGGAATCAAACCCCCAGCCCTGGAGCTGCTTACTGACTCTGATGGTTGTGTTGAATTGTGTTGATCCCTTTAACATTTTTCATTTGGAGATGATTAAAGTTTAGAGTCATTTCTCTTTGTTTGCCCTTGTTGCATCAATATTACTCTACTGTCAACAACCCTATTGTTATCTGATATCCTCTGATATCCGTCCTAATTAATAATCACAAGAGGTTTTGTGTCGAAGGTCAATGCTCAGAGACCAAGTATTCATTGTTAGAACTTCATCAATGCATGCATTTAGAACAAATACAGGACAATTTTGAGCGCACATTTTTTAGCATTCCAAATAAAAATATACAGGAGACACAGTATGGATAGAGATTTCTTTCTGTACATTTTCCTAGCAATAATATGCCAACAATGTAGTTTTAGCAAACTGTGCTTCAAGCACACAAATACAACCCAATTTCAATACAATCGAAGCCAAAATCATACTTTAATAATAATGATGTAGTCAATTGTCAATATGAGAATATGCCTATTGGTACCACCATGGTGTGCCTATTAATACCACCATGGTGGGTGTTCTGAAACAAGACTGATTTGCCTATGGGTCCACATTGGTGGATTGATTTGTCCAGCTTAATTTGCTCTAACAAAAACACTCAAAAGTATTATTCTTATATCAACAGGCGCATGGTGGCTTAGTGGTTAATTGTTAACACGTTCGCCTCACACCTCCAGGGTCCAGGATTCGATTCCCTCCGGGGCCATGTGTGTGCGGAGTTTGCATGTTCTCCCTGTGCTGCAGAATCCGGGTACTCTGGTTTCTGGGTACTTCCAGTCCAAAGACATGCATGGTAGGCTGATTGTCCATAGTGTATGCCCTGTGATGGACTGGCACCCTGTCCAGGGTGTACAGTACACCCCACCTTTTGCCTCATGCTTCCTGGGATAGGATAGGCTCCAGGTTCCCCTGAAGAAGGAATAAGTGGTAGAAGATGGATGGATTCTTATATCAAGTCAGCCATGTTTGTACCTTGGGATTAGAGCGTTGCTTTAGTACATCAACTGAAGCTCAGTATATCAGTATGAATTCAGGCTGTCACAGTTCCCCCTTGAAGCAGCATGCTCTCGTGTGGTTGCGCGAGCGCGTGCGTGTCTGTTGTGACATTTGAACATGTGCTTTTGTTTTGTTTCTGTCATTGGCTGGGAGGGCATGTGTGTTTTGTTTATGTTCGTCATGTCCCCGCCCGGTTTCTGTCATATGTTGGATCCCCACGTGTGTCTGAATTGCATTCAGCTGGAAGCCGTTTAAGTTAATTCATACCGGCTTATATAAGGACTTTCGAGGACAAGCCTGATCGGCATGACGGCTTTTTCGGCTATCCGAATTACTTTGTGATGGACGTTCAAGTTTATTTCTCCAGCCTGTGTGACCCGAAACCAACAGAAAAACTGTTTATTTGATTCATGATGTCCCAATTTTTTGGCCCAGCGCGCACGTGGGCGCAGCGTGTAGCCGCCATGAGACCCCAGGTACTGGAGGACAGTAAGCAGTTCTCAGGACAGTTTTTGCAGGAGTTCGGAGAACCAGAGCGGAATTACAACTTGGATAAGTTGCTAAAGGGGGTTAATGTGGCGACTAGTGTTGACCTCCCATTCCATGTGCATTATGAGCAGGTTAGGCACCAAGTTGAGATGAGCACACCCCAACCTGATACCCAAGTCAAGTTCAGGTCCAGGGCTCCAGTCCAAGCACCAGTCCAAGCTCCAACCAAAGCTCAAGTCCAAGTTTCAGCCAAGCCTCCAGCCACAGTTCAAGTCCAAGTTCCAGGTAAATCTCATGTCCCTGCCATGTCTCAGGTCCATGTCCCTGCCATGCCTCACGTCTCCGACACCACAGCCATGCCTCACGTTCCCGGCACCACAGCCATGCCTCACGGTCCCGGCACCACAGCCATGCCTCACGGCCCCGACACCACAACCATGCCTCACGTTCCCGGCACCACAGCCATGCCGCATGTTCCCGGCACCACAGCCATGCCTCAGGTTCCCGGCACCACAGCCATGCCTCACGCTCCCGGCACCACAGCCATGCCTCACGCTCCCGGCACCACAGCCATGCCTCATGCTCCCGGCACCACAGCCATGCCTCACGTTCCCGGCCATGTCCCTGAGCCCTGTCCCTGCCATGTCTCTGGTCACGCATTGGGCCCACGACCCGGCCAGGGCCCAGACTCAGGTCCCAGCCCAGTCTCAAGTCCAGGTGAAGGCCATCCCAGAAATATTTTTTTTGGGGGGGGGCATTTGAGAACAGCAGGACTCCAGCCTGAGGCCTGTGGGGAGGTCTCAGCGGTGGAGCTCCTGCCAGCTGAGGAGGCTATCCTGCTGTCCAGCCCAGCCGAGGAGGCTATCCTGCTGTCCAGCCCAGCCGAGGAGGCTATCCTGCTGCCCTGCAGAGCCAAGGAAACTGTCCAGCCTCCACGTCCAGCTGAGGATGCCGCTCAGCCTCACTGTTCAGCTGAGGTCGTCGCTCAGCCTCCACGTCCAGCTGAGGACGCCGCTCAGCCTCACTGTTCAGCTGAGGTCGTCGCTCAGCCTCCACGTCCAGCTGACGATGCCGCTCAGCCTCACTGTTCAGCTGAGGTCGTCGCTCAGCCTCCACGTCCAGCTAGAGACCTTGCCCCGCTTCCTCGCTCTGCCACAAACATCGTGCAGCTTCCTGGCTCTGGATGGGACATTCAGCCCAGGGGCTTGGCGCCGCCAGGCATATGGAATGTTTCATGGCACTCCGGGAGGAGTGCCTTTGGGGGGGGACTCCGTCACGGTTCCCACTTGAAGCAGCATGCTCTCGCGCGGTTGCGTGAGCGCATGCGTGTCTGTTGTGACATTTGGACATGTGCTTTTGTTTTGTTTCTGTCATTGGCAGGGGGGGCATGTGTGTTTTGTTTATGTTCATCATGTCCCCGCCCCGTTTCTGTCATAGGTTAGATCCAGGCAAACTACATGGATTTGCAGTTTTTAATTTATTTAATTGTCATTTCTGTTGAAAGAAATAAGAAGGCCTATATAGGAGGCCTATATAGAAGTATTGCATGCAACTCAGTTCCACACTTCAATGGTCGGTTCCATATTTAAAATGGAAAAAGCACCATCCAGGATGGCTTCTCATGGGGAAAAGCAAATTTAGACTGTGTTTGTCAATCTACAGTGCATTGTCAATGCCATTCTAAGCTCCTCAGTCTCCTCAGCCAGTAATGCATTAGTGCGGTCGGTTTTTTTATATTTATTTATTTATTATCCCTGTACTGCATCCTTGGCTCCACCACCACAAAAAAAAAGAAAAGAAAAAACCCAAACAAACAAAAAAAAAATCTGGATCTGGTTCACTTTACATTTCATACATAATAGTGAAAATACTACAATAGTATAGTGAAGTTTATTTAAAAATTTGTTACTGGTAGTGTTGAAGCTGTTCTGGCTCCAGTGGTTAAATTGAAAGGAAAAGAAAAAAACAAAACCAAAAGAAACTTACAGGAGCTGTTTCCTTCCCACCTGAAATTTGGCAGAAAACAGAATAAACAACTGGACTGACAGCCATTACAACATAGGGACATAAGAAGCCATCCTGGATGGTGCTTTTTCCATGCATACGCACAGATGGATATTCATGGTCCAATGCTTTGAGACATAAAAGAAGTGTGGGGTGAGAGTGGGGTGGATGAGCCTCAGATTGAAAACTTAATACTGAGTTGGAAAGTTTTATACATCTAGAGAGAAATGGAAAGAAAGACAATAAAGAAAAGTGGAATATTAAATCACTTTCTACAAAACCTTTGCTATCAACTGGACATTTTGGGTGTCTGCTTGTGGCATTTTTTCCATTTTACAGAGGAAACAATCAACAAGGTTAATGACCTGAACAGTGTTCAATATATGAGCAGTGTGGGAGTGTGTGTAGGTTCTGGCAATTCTGCTTAGTAACACAGGCTACTTGGAAACTGATATTGATACATACAAAAACTTCACATGAACATGTTGAACTAATTTGTAAAGTCCTATCTATAAATCTGTTGTAGCAATTGCATATATAACAGCTTACACAGATTTATTAACCCGTTAAACTCTCAGAAGATTTTGGCAGGTCCATATTCACGTTTCGTACTTTCTAACTGCGTACATTTTCTAATTAGTTTCACTATAGCAGCTGAATAATTTGTTGCAGTATTAAAAGTTTAAAAGTGTCTGCCAAATGAATAAATGTAAATTTAAGTGGAGTTACATAAATCTTAAGTAGTGTTACAGTTAATGGAACTGTTCTGTTTGCATTTATTTTTCCATCTTAGGAAATTATGCATTTGTCTTCATGATTTAAATGAGGTTTTGTGAAGTGGAGTGATGTGAGCAAGTTATTTTAGTAAGTAATTAGATTTAGGAGTTACTTGGGAACACAGCCTTTTGAGAGGAAGAGCTCTCCTAAACAACCTGCAGTAAGACAGAAGATGGGACAAGATGAAATGCTGCATGCTGTTTCCTGAAATCAGAGAGGCTTTGCGACAGCGAAAGGAGAGAAAAATTAAAATCATTAAGAGGAAAGAGTGTGAATCAGATGACGGAAGAGAAGGGAGAAAAGCATCACTCTGACATGACTGCTGTAATGATGGCTGGCGGCAGTTCTGTGGCTCTTCTGTCATATGTCTTGTGCTGAAAAGACAATTAATGATCACGTGCTGTCTCATTAGGGAAGAACAGGCTGTGACCCACTTCTGAAATTACATGAGAGATATTATCTCCCCAAAACAAGCAGCCATTTCCATATTTTTGATATTTCTTTTGGAGTGTGCATCTTTTTAATGCCATGGAATAGTATCCCCAATGGTGCCACACATAAGTGCTGATATGGCCGTGTGTGTGTGTGTGTGTGTGTGTGTGTGTGTGTGTGAAATATATATATATATATATATATATATATATATATATATATATATATATATATATATATATATATATATATATATATATATATATACACACACACACACACATATATATATATATATATATATATATATATATATATATATATATATAGAGTTGATTTTGTATGTTTGCCCCCTGACAAAGAAATGTTCAGTCTATAATTTTAATGGTAGGTTTATTTGAACAGTGAGAGACAGAATAACAACAATAAAATCCAGAAAAATGCATGTCACACGTTATAAATTGATTTGAATTTTAATGAGGGAAATAAGTATTTGACCCCCTCTCAATGAGAAAGATTTCTGGCTCCCAGGTGTCTTTTATATAGGTAATGAGCTGAGATTAGGCGCACACTCTTAAAGGGAGTGCTCCTAATCTCAGCTTGTTACCTGTATAAAAGACACCTGTCCACAGAAGCAATCAATCAATCAGATTCCAAACTCTCCACCATGGAAAAAACCAAAGAGCTCTTCAAGGATGTCAGGGACAAGATTGTAGACCTACACAAGTCTGGAATGGGCTACAAGACCATTGCCAAGCAGCTTGGTGAGAAGGTGACAACAGTTGGTGCGAATATTTGCAAATGGAAGAAACACAGAAAAGAACTGTCAATCTCCCTCGGACGGGCGCTCCATGCAAGATCTCACCTTGTGGAGTTGCAATGATCATGAGAACACTGAGGAATCAGCCCATAACTACACGGAAGGATCTTTTCAATGATCTCAAGGCAGCTGGGACCATAGTCAACAAGAAAACAATTGGTAACACACTACACCATCAAGGTCCCCCT